GTTTTTCATTTTTAAAAGAAATCTTTAGTTTTTTCTATTTTAAAGAGAGTTTTAATCCATATTAAAAAATAATAATTTAATTTGTATTTTAAAAGGTTTTAAATTATATATATTTTTTTAAAAAGTTTTAAGTTATATTTTTTAAGAAAAGAAAAAACAATTTGAATTATATTTAAAGAAAGCAGAGTTTTAATTAAAAAGTTAGGATAACAAACATAATAGTAATAAATAAAATAAAAATAAGAAAAAGAAGTTGGATTTTAACTTTAAAAGCTTTTTAGTTTTAATTTTGCAAAAAAAAGAATTTTATTCTTAAATTTTAAAAGGGATTTAGTTTTATATTAAAAAAAATGTTTTGGTTTTTAAATTTAAAAGAAATCTCTTTAGTTTAAAAAGTGTTTTAGTTTAATTTAAAAAATGTTTTTGTTATTTTATTTTTAAAAAAGGTTATATTAATTTATAAAAAGAGTTAAATGAATAAAAGAAGGTTATTATTATTTATTTTTAAGGAAATATTAAGAAAAGGAAAAATTATTATTTACAGTTTTTATATTTTTATTATAATTACCAAACAAAAACCATGAGATTTCATAAACACTAGGGCTGGCAATGAACCGAACCAACTCGAAAATAGTTCGAAATTCGATTCGACAATTAGATCGTTGAACTAGGTTCATGAACCTAATGAGTTGAGTATGAGCGAAAAATTAAGTTCGTTAACTAAATGAGCTGAACTTGAACTCTACATAGTTCGACTCGTTAGGTTCATGAGTTAACTCGATTACATATGAGAATAATTATACTGTCTTTAAGATTAGGTTTAAATATTTAATCTAAATCTTAGACAAATTTAATCTTCAACTTAGTAGTTTTTGAATTAGACTCTCAAATGTATCTCTTGAAAGTTGTGTAAGTTTTGAATTAGTAGATTTCGAAGATAAAGTTAAATTTCAATATGATAATTTTTATTTTATTTTAATATTTTATTTTAAAAAAAATATATTTATTTAAAATGTCAAATATACTAAAATATATATATATTAAAAAAAATAGTTTTTAAGCCCGTGAATCATGTGAGCTGATCCTAATGAGTTGAACCAAACTGTTCGTGAACTTATAACAAGTCGAGTTTGAACTTAAAAAAAAGTTCGTGTTGAACTCGAACTCGAACTCGAACTCGAAACAATTCATAACGAGTCGAGTTTGAGCTTAAAAAAAAGTTCGTGTTGAACTCGAACTCGAACTCGAACTCGAAAAATTCTTAATGAGTCGAGCCGAGCTGAGGTGAGTTCGACTCGACTCGACTCATTTCCAGCCCTAATAAACACATACCTTTCGGCCGATTGGCGGTGATGAAATTTGATGGAGGTATTGATGCTCGTCCTCTGGCGGTGATGAAATTTGATGGAGGTATTGATGCTCGTCCTCTGGCGATGATGAAGCTATCTTCCCTCTTTTGATAAATCGTGAGAACGGTCGTTGTTTTTCTCTTTTGTCTCCTTCCCCTTTTATCAAATGCAACTCATGTTTATATAGGTAACAAATTAGGGTTAACTCTAACCTAATACCCACTTTAAAGCCCAACTTAAATAATTAGTCAAAGCTAAAAAAACAAACTTAAACAAACTTAAAACATTATAAAAAGAATAAAATCGTTTCTAATATTTTTAATTTTATAATTTTTGGATGTTTTTATGAATAATATGGAAAAAAGTGAAAAGATAATATTTTTTAAAAAATAATTTAAATAAAAAAACAAACTTAAACAAACTTAAAACATTATAAAAAGAATAAAATCGTTTCTAATATTTTTAATTTTATAATTTTTGGATGTTTTTATGAATAATATGGAAAAAAGTGAAAAGATAATATTTTTTAAAAAATAATTTAAATAAAATATGAAAATAATAATTAAACAATAAAAAAACTATTTTTGTTATTTTTTTATGAAAATAAAAAAGTTAGAATAAAAATAAAAGAAACAAAACAAAAAGTGAAAAAGATGGGATTCAAACTCTCGACCTCTCACACTCACAACTCCTTACACACAGTCTCTTGCCAATTGTACTATTTTATTCATTCAAAATAAAGTGGCACTAGAAACCTTGTAAACTAAAAGAGCGCGCCACATGATATTTTCTTGCAACAATCAAACAATTGCACAACCCGTTAGTGGTTAGTTTAAACGCAATGCAAAATGAAATGGGATGCAAGATAAAACGACTAATCTTAGGGCAAAATTTGGGGTATTACAGTCATCATCAAAGGTTGATGTCCTTATTAAAAGCATATCACCTGTAAAACAAGGTTCCACGAATTTTTGGGATCAAAGTAAAGTAGAATAGTGGGGGTTATGAACTTAGTCAAACACACTACATTAAGTTTTTTTTTATAACAAACGCTTAAGCTTTAAGAAAGTGACCACTCCATTTGATTCTAGTGTCAAACTTCAAAAGAATGATGGAAGGGATGTGGCTCAATTAAAATATGCAAGTGCAATTGATTGTCTAATGTACTTGATGTAGTGTATCAGACCTAATATAGCATTTCCAGTTAGTAAAATGAGCAGATTTACAAGCAATACAAATAGTGAGCACTAGAAAGTCATCATTAGGATTTTTGGCTATCTTATGAAAAAACAAAAATATTGGCCTTCATTATCGTAGGTTTCCTGCCATATTAGCAGGATATACTGATGAAAGTTGAATATCGAGTTTCGAAGATCATAAACCTATAACTGGGTGAATATTTACACTAGATGGAGATGTAACTTTTTTGAAGAGCAAGAAACAAACATTTATTACTCTTTTGACCATGGAATCAAAGTTATTGACTCTTGCTTCCACAAGTCAAGATCCTGAATGGTTGAAGGACCTTTTATTGAAATTTTTATTGGCTGAAATCAATGTTTCAAAGGTGTTGATATATTTCCATTGTCAAGCCACTTTAGTTAGAACATTCAGCAAAGTGTATAATGTAAAGTCTAGGCACATAGGACTTAAACATTTTTTGGTGAAAAAATTGATTAAGGATTAAATCATTTAACTCACATATGTACGGTCAAGCTATAATTTGGATGATCCATTTACTAAACCACTGACTAAAGATTTAGTAAAGACTACCTCGAGAGGCAAGAGATTGAAAATCCTTGAGTAAGAGTTTCAATAACAGTAGCAACCTAATCTGAAGTTAAGAAAATCTTAACCTAAGATTCAATGGGTAACACCAAGTCATTGATTTAGATGTTAGTGCAAAATTATGTGACAATGTTGACTATTGCATATTGAAGGTTGAGTTTTCAAACTCTTACTGAAATTCAATGTCGAGATTATGTATCTCAAGAAAGATAGGTAGATATAATATGAACTTCACCTATGTGAATTTCGAGATGGTGTCGTCTCAAAGTGAGAAGATGAGTTTTTCTCATGAAAAATTCACGAAGCAGGAAAAACACATGGTCATAAATAATGTTAAGAGAGAGAGAGAGAGAGAGAGAGAGAGAGAGAGAGAGAGAGAGGTGAAGAACCATTAAAGAGTGTGTGTAAGGTAAGGTTGGTCTAATTACAAGGGATAACAGTTCAAAGCATTGCTACCTAATGTTCCGATTAAACTTTGTGTTGTCCTTACTAAGGTTAAGTTAAAATTAAAAGATACTTAATTGTATTAACATTCTTTGTTTCATTTTTTATGGAATTGATCTTATCATTATTAGAACAATGGGGAGATTGTTGTAATTAATAGTAATTAATTACCATAAATATGTTCTAAAATGACAAGAAAATATACAAGTGAAGGTTGTTTTTTTGAATTAAAAAATAGGCAATATTTGGGAAGTGTTTTAATAGGTCGTTTATATTTTGAATTTGAAAATAGACAACGTTTTGTGAAGTGTTGTAGTATGCAATTTGTATTTTGAATTCGAAAATAGAAAATGTTTTGTGAAATGTTACAGAGTGCAGTCAGAATAGGCAACACTTCTGAACTGTTGTAGTAGGCGAAAAGTTGCAACACTCATCAAAAAGTGTTGCTGAAATTGTGTGTTTCATCAAGAATCGCAACCTTGTTAAACAACACTAGTGGATTTATAAATTAAGCATTCCGGATTCAAAAAAAAATACATTAGAAAATTTTATCTTCTTCACACAAAATTTCAAATTTCACTTTTTCCTTCATTTGAGTTTTCATCGGTCTTGTGAAAACTCGAATATAGCATAAATTATTCTAGATATTCTTGCATACAAAATCTAAGACAATTTAAAAGTAATTAAATTATCATAAAAAAAAATAATTTATTCACGATTCTAACCTCGATTCATTTAACTTACGATCAATTTTTTAACACACTAGTATATATTATAACCTCGATTCATTTAACTTACGATCAATTTCCTAACACACTGGTATATATTATTATGGAACATCTTTTGGAAGGAAAAAAACAACAAGAAATCCACCAAACTCATAACCGCGTGGATGATATTATGTGAAAGTAACAAATTTTATGCTGGTGATACATTGAGGTTTAAGTTTATCAATAAATATACCTCCAATTTGATAAAAGTTGTTAAAACTTAATATAAAGAGATAGATATTAAGGTTATATTGTCCGCTTAAGTCACTATTGCATCTATTTGGTGATTGTGTCATGATTCTCGAGTAAAAACTCTACTGTTTGTTTATGTCATAACTAAATTATATGTTTATGTCATTTACAATATTGTATGGAAGCTATAACACGCGTTATCTCCTAGTTTTAACTACAGTTATGCTGAATTTTCTGGTGAGCAATATGGAATTGGCCTTTTTGACCAAACAACATGTGCTCTATGTACATCCAAAAACAACGTGTAAGTCCTGTCTCTATCTACCTCATATTCAAATTTGCACAAACCATTTCCATATTTAAAGGCTATTTATGAAAAATCAACCTGCATCATTTCACTCACCAAAGTCACTCTCCCACCCCGTCTACCATATCCTACAATTAAACATCAATCAATATGCAAGATCACACTGAAATAACTAATGTTCCTCTTCAAAACCTCTCACAACTAAGCACCAAGATGGATTCTCTTCAACGCTTCATAGCCCAATCCATCAAAACCAAAACTCTCCTCCCCAAACAACACTTAGACACACTCTCTAACCAAATCTCGTCGACCATTTGCGACGTCATCATCAATGCAACTGCTCTTCTTGCTACGTGTCCAACAACAACACCATACGAATGTTACAGGACACGTAGCAAGAACATCAGTTGCATAGATAGTGACACTACAAATTACAAAGATTCCAACATCGTGGAACTCGACGCTGTGGATATACTCGCGAAGCATTTTCATTTCTGTGAGATTTGCGGGAAAGGATTCACGCGCGACGCGAATTTGCGTATGCACATGCGCGCTCACGGGGAACAGTTCAAGACTCCAGAAGCGTTACGTTGCGTGAAGGAAACGCGGTTAACCGCGACGCGATTTTCTTGTCCATACGAAGGATGCAAAAGGAACAAGCTACACAAGAAGTTCGCGCCGTTGAAGTCGGTGTTCTGTTTGAGGAACCATTTTAAACGAAGTCATTGTCCGAAAACTCACACGTGTGATCGGTGTCGGAGGAAGAGCTTTGCGGTGGTTTCGGATTTGAAGAGTCATATGAAGCAGTGTAAGGGAGAGTCGACGTGGAAGTGTTCGTGTGGAACTACGTTTTCTAGGAAGGAGAAACTGTTTGGACACATGGCACGGTTTGAGGGGCATTCGCCGGTGTTTGTTGTGGCGGCGGGAGAAGAAGGGAGAGGACAAGCCGTGGCGGCGGAAGGGGAAGGTGTGGCTGTGGGTGCAATTTTGACTGAGGAAAGTGATAGGTTACCTGAAGGTTTCTTTGATGATTTGGATAAGTTTTGGGTTTGACTTTGACCCCTTTTGTAATAATTTTCTTTGGACTTTTGCAGAATTAATTAATAAAATTTTGAGAACTATTTTTTAATTGATGAAAGAATTTGTATTTGCTCTTTCATCAACATTATTTAGTAGAATAATTTAAAAGTCATTTTTAATTAGGCTTAATCATATAAATAAACATTTGTGAATAAAAGGCACATTGATTTTTAATCTTTTGTTTAATTATATACACCTTCGATCAATATTATTTAAAAAAATTACATTAAAAAATTCAATTAAATATAGTTAGTTTTTATATTTTGCTCAAAACATTGATTAAATTTACTATAATATTCTTTTTGTGATTTATTGCATTAATATATACATACGTTTTATTGAAAAATAATACATTCAATTTTTTCAATTCATGTATTGTTCGCAAATACTCATAAAAAAAAGACTAAGTTCTAATTTTCATTGTTTGCATAAGCGCCATAAATTTTTTAATTTTTCCAACCAAAGCTACATGTATTCACTTTTTTTAATTCCGGCAAAGCTATTCAACTTTTCAATTAGTATTGTATGCATATACCCAATAAAAATTTGCTTGCGTTCTAATTTTTATTTTGTATACTATAGCGACATAAAAAAACTCACGTTCTAGTTTTCATTTCGAATGTGTAATTCCTCACTATGGCTTTGAATTTTAATTTGAATGAACCTTATACTGATTTTCAATGTAGTTGTTGCCAAAGAGTTGTTGGTAAACAAAAATAGAGTTCTTCTACTCATCGATTTAAAATTGCAACCTCACAGTTATTCTAATGTAGCTGTTGTTGTCGTCGCCGACGAGTCATCAGTAAATGAAAGCAGAACTTCGTTATCCATCGACTTAAACGTGCAACTTTCCAATGAAAAATGCACTTTTGATATGAATGACTTTACTCCATTTGAAGATGGCTCTGTAAATGAGGTTGAAGATGTCATTAGTAGGAATGTAAGTGATCATAGAGGTAAGTTAGTTTCAATGAATATGACATATGACTCTTTGTATTTAAAGTTATCCAAAATAGTGTCTTTTTATAAATATTTTAGGGAACCAAGATGATACAAATGGTATAGGCAACTTATTAAGTGAAGAAGATGAAATTTTGAATTATTTATTTAACGAAAAAGATGAAAATTTGAATTATTTATTTAGCGAAGAAGATGAAGATATGCATATCGTGCATTAATTAAAGGTAAGACAATTCAAATTTTAATTCTTCAATTTTTACACCTGTCAATAAAGGTGCAGTATGTACTATAAGGGGAGATGCATTTGCTTTATGTTATAGACACTTTGTTTGCTTTTTAATTATATGTGATCACAAGTAAGTTTTTTTTTAATTATGCAGAAGAAAATAATGTTAATGAAACTCAATTGGGATAACAATCCATGACAATGTGTTTCTGAATTATTATTACATTCACCCCATCGTGGAAAATTGTAATACCCCATATTCTCTTAAATGCTCAATTGGATATCAGTTGAGATCAACGGAGGTCCTATGTACTCTATCTTTGGTCAGTTAGAATTATTAGAGCTTCTAAATGCTCTGAATATTATTAATTGGGATCAATAGAGTAACTAATAAACTCTGAGTAGATTAATTATTAGTGAAAGGGACAGACCAATATTAATAAGTACAAGAGAAGATATTTGGTAACTCTAATATTTGGTCGATCGTTGTTAGATGCAAATATCAGATGGAGATACTTTATCATTATATAATATTATATATATATATATATATATATATATATATATATATATATATATATATATATATATATATATATATATATATATATATATATATATATATATATATATATATATATATATATATATATATATATATATAAAAGAAATAGGAAAAAAGAAAGTTAGTAAGAAAAAGAAGGAAAGGAAGAGGAAAAGAGAAGAGAAAGGGAAAGAAGAGAAGAAACTCATGAAAGAATTTGGGTTCATCATCTTCATCATCAATTCATCTTCTTTTTCAATAAGGTGAGTTCCATAGTTAGATTTAGCTTTGGGAGGGAAGAAAATGTATGACTGAGGATTTAGGTTTTGTGTGAAAATATATCTAAATGTGAATTGTATGTTACAATGATGAATTTCGTGCTTAAACTGGTTATACCATGGTTGTTTAAGTGTTTGGATGTTGTTTGATCATGTGGTATAGATTTTTGACCACAGGTACTTTAGATTCACGTTCTGCAGAATCTGAGTTCTGCTTGAGTCGTTGTGCGAGCTCAAGGCGGCCTATTTTGCTTGAGTCGTTGTACGAGCTCAAGGCGAGCTGCTCCCTGGCTGGTCACAAAACGACCATAACCCAATTTTGCTTAGGCCTCTTCTTCGTTGTGGGTTCGCTATGCAAATTGAAAGCGAACAACCTCGTTTTGGGGTCGTTGTGCGACCATAGCAGAATTTTGTTTTCCTGTTTCCTGTTTCCTTCATAACTTTTGAATTGTAAGTCAGATCAAGGCACTGTCGAAAGCGTTGAAAATATGAATATAGATGTGTGATTGATTGAATAATATTGAATTGAATAATGTAGAATAATATGTGAAAAAGTGAAGTAGAACACCTAGTGTTGTGATGAACAACATGTAAATGGTTTGATATTTGGTGAGAGACCTTTGTTTCGAAAGTCCTATTTGGTGAGGGGATTGGCTCCGAAAGACCTATCTATTGTGAGATTATGGATTAATCAAGGATTCTTGGTGTAAAATAGCAATGTTCACGTTTATGAATTATATGATATATATTGTTGTTTTACATATGTGGCGCATTTCATAGTCTATGCTTGGACCATCGTTGTATCTCGTGATTATTTTGATTGTGTGATAGCATTCTTAAAATACTATAAGAATGGTAAGGAAAATCTTGATATTAATTAATGGAATGAATTAGTAAGATGATTAGGACACGATGAATAATAATATATATGGAAATGCTTGTGCAATGATGCCTAGATATGTATCATTGGCAAGTAGTTTTCTAGTTGTGAGGAGAACTCTGAATGGGACATGTGTGGTTTCGTGTTGCTTTATGTATAAGGTGAATATATTTGCCTTGTGATTTTCGAATACAATCATGTTGTGTCGTGTTTTATTACATGGTCGAAAATAACCTTTGTGGATGCCATCCCAAGAGTTGATGCTTATGTAGAGCTCTTTTGGGATGTACACATTAATACTTTGAGAGGAGTTCTCTTAAATGAATGGAGCCTACATGTAAAAGACTTGAGATGGGAGAGGTCTGATGGGAAGTGACGATTCATGTAGGAAGAACCTTGAATCTGAATTCATTCATTTATCTCGTGTGTACGAATGAAACCTACGATTCATGTGAAAAACACCTTGAACCCGAATCCATTTCATATGTTAAAGTAGATACAAGGATCGTGACCCGTGTCGATAACTCTAGGCGTAGGGTTGGTCGGAGAAAGATTCCTTGGTATGATTTCTAATTAGTGATTGTTTGAGTTGGTGGACTCAAGAGATATGTTTTAATACATTGCGAACTGTGTGAACTCAAGTCTTATACCTTTCCCTTTTTACTTGAGATAGAAATTCATTAGAACCTTGTAGAGCCGAGTGAACCCATAAGATATGATAACTCACTGAGATTATCATCTCACCCCCATTATTATTGTTTTTTCACGTATTATTTGCAGGTTTAGTTTGCAAGTAGAACTATGCATGGATGTTTCAAGGGAATCTTAGCTTACGTTTATTCCGATGTGTATTGAGTTTTACAATAAAGAATATTATACTTAGATCTTAGATTTTTATGTTTGCCACTTTCCATATCTTGTACCATTGTTACTCTTTTATATTTTTGTAAAATGGTCAAGTATGTAAATTATGCCAATAGGCACTTATGATGGCGCCAATACTAGATAATAATTCTTGTATGATATTATTTTAGATATATATTATACAGGGTGTTACAAATTTTTTGTTCTGGAACTATCAGTAGGGTGGCATCTTACTTTTCAATTTCTAGAGATGTCATTTATCGAATTTGGAGGCAAATAAAAGAAACAAGTGTAGTGTATCACAAGAAAACACATTTATGGTTGAAAAAGAGTCCAAATAGATTTTGAAAAAATACGCGAAGCTTCGTTAGCTAAGAGAAGTACTCCCTGATATTTACAAACTATCATAGGCATTAAAAGCAAGTCAACTTTGCTAAGACATGTTAAAGAAGGGGTTTTACGCCGACACTCGAATGTATTTGTTCTGGCCTGGGCCCCGGCTTGGCCAGGCAGGCCCAGCCCAATAATATCCTGCCAAGCCCAGTCCATCTTGGACCGCAGCCTCCGAGCACAAGGTTCCCGGCAGACAGGTAATGCCCCTCCGCAGGCAGAACCTGCCCCATCTGTGTCGAGCACAAGACTCTCCCGTCGACCAGACATTGCCCTCTCTGCGGGCAGGACAACGTGTCCTTCACACGTTCTCCACGTGCTCCCCTCCGCGGGGACACGTCACCGACCAACTGCCCACCTCCGAAAGAGTAGGTCAAACCCACCTTCCGGAGATCACGGGACAGTTGGACTAAGGCGAAGACCACGTCCTGGTCTTCACTACGCCACATAAGTCCTAGCAGTCACCTGGGTTGGGCCTGACAATCCAGCCCAACACAAGTGAGCGTTGGCCCAGCGATGGGGTCTCTCTATAAATACTCTTTTTCACAAGAGGTTCAGGTAATTCACTTCTTACCCATTTTTATGTGCTTGTGATCACTCTGCCCATACGCTTACTTTAGCATCGGAGTGTCTTGCAGGTACACCCCCCTCCACTTTTTCAATACCGGTGAGCAGGCAACAAGTCGGAGACGCGTGGCAGCCAGCGATCCCTTTCTGATCAGGTCAGATCAGTATTGAAACCACATTTGAAAGATAACAATATGAAAGCGTGTCTCGAATTTTGTTTGTCAATGCTTGGGGAGAGTAGCATTCCCCATGATCCAATGTTTA